GAACGGTATGATCGATCAAAAATATCCAGCCAATGGGAATTCAGGATTGTTTTGAATTAGCCAATCAGATAGCCTGTATTCGAGCCCCTGATCGCTTTAGCGATCAGAACTCCCCACAGATCGCGCAAAAATCGAGATAGCCAATCAGATGGCTGGAATCTGACTCAGAGCGTGCAAAACTCATGCGTAAGACCGCTTTTCTGCGCGTTCATGTTCGAAGGCCTTGCTACTGGATGATATCTTAGAACTGGACTGTTAAACTTTCAATACAATACACTGCGTGAAGTTTGATAACTGGACCGCTATTTAATTTAACAATTTTCTGCCCAATTTTTACCTTAGTCGCGTGATCGCTCTGATCACCCCTAGATCCGCCCCTGCATTTACCTACAGTATCACTGCATGCATAAACTGGTTATCGTCCCTCAAATAGCTCATGTTTCAACACTCGAGGATTTTAAACGGAATCCTGGCCTGAACGTTCTGTTGAGTTCGTTGGATGGAGATGCATATTATGCCAAGTCACCATTGGCAGAAGATCCACTATCGAACCTGATCGAATTAATGAGCATCGGACTTCGTACACAGGATCTCCGCTCGCGTAGGAAAGGTAAAGAACCTTGCTGCCAAGTTAAAATTTTCCTCTGTAACATATTGCGACCTCGGGATCTAAGGTCGCGGTCACACTAGCGCTAAAATCGTGCTTGCTTGAACTAAATCCACTCGAATCGCTCATGATCAACACAGCACCTTCCAAGCGCGCTTGCTAGTGTAACCGCGCAAAAAAAAAATTAAAACTCAAATCTGACACGACTTGCTTGAAAAGCACCGATTAAATAAGGATCTCAAGTGGATTAAATAATTTAACCAATAAAATGTTGAGTTTTAGGAGGCAAATAGACAAGTAATTTCAAAATGTCATATTTAATTTGAATAGAGACAAAACGCGGTAGATTCGAACTATTTTGCTTACACAACAATGCGCTAAGCAGTGAAAAGTCGAATGAATGGGTATTTCTGTATGGAAACCTGACGCAGAAACCAAATTGAAAATAATTTAGTTCTTGCCCGTGTAATTATATAATATATATACAATCGCTTAACATTCCTATTTAATACATATATAAATATAATATTATCATGAATATAAAGTCACATTCTCTATAATGTTCTAAACTTATAGTTACGAACTCACAAGAATAATGTAACGATATTCGTTGACTTTAATATAATAAACTTTAGATTATTAGATAAGTTTTTAATTTTTATCTGTCAACAACAGCGAGCAAGCAAACATTGCTTTTTTGAGTGTGACCGCGACCGCGTGCTTGGCTTACATTCTAGCATGAGTTTGGTGTGCGTTCAAGCAAGCACGCTAATCCAGTGGTAATCTCCAAGCACAAGCGCTAGTGTGATCGCGACCTAAGGCTTTGTTTAATAATGCCATATAATATATTGTGCATGATGACGCCACGTCCGGAAGATTCTCAAGAATTTAATAATTTAATTACAGGAGTGCGTTAATTGTTATGCAAAGCGCGTGAAGGACAGTGCATGGTATTGTTTGGTCGAATTTTTCCTCAAAAATGAGACTATATAAAGAGGCTCGCCTATGGCAATGTGTTCAGTTTACGTCATCTTGCAGTTGGATTGAGATAAAGAAGACTAAATTAGGTATGTTATTTAATTTTACTTTTATTTTATCTCATGCAGCAATTTTTAGTATGTAGGCTACGTCGGGTTTAACATTTTCTTTTGGATCATTTCAGGTCAATTTCAAGATTTTTTCATTTCGTTTGCTGTTCGAGTCAGGTATCATTAATGATATTGATAATATAATGTCTATTTATCGCATTGCATGTATAATTTGATTCAAACTCTAAAATGTTTTCTTTAAAAACGTCTCCAATTTTCAGATTTCTCGGCCGTTGGACTGAGATAAAAACCAATTATGAAAGCAGGTCAGTGGTTTTTGTTTTCTAATTTCATTGCAATATTTCACAAGTTGTATAAAAAGTTCGTCGTAAAGGTTCTAGAGACTTTTCCGTTACACTTACACTTTTGAAGCATTTTCAGTTCACGCATTCTTAAAACTTATTCATGGTTCACAAAGCGCCCTAGATTTTGTTCTTTATAGTGTTTAATAGATGTGTGATCAGCTGTATAGTGTTTTCGCTGCTGTTTAGTACATCAAAATATCCATTTGTGCAATCACTCGTCTTCGAAAGCTAATAAACTTTTCATTAAATTGCACGGTTTTAGCCCTTATATTTGTATAGACGGTCACTCAACCAGTGCTTATACGTTATTTAGGCTAAAAAAGCGGAGTTCTCGTTTCGAATTTTAATTTTGAAATGAATGTGGCATGCAGTAAAACGTCTATATTTATGTTCGTAATTATATAAGCTTATTCATTCAGCTTTAATTTCCAACGGTGGATCACTTCAGTGTGAAATTTGCCCAACTGGCTGGCGAGTTATGTTTGTTTAAGTGTTCGCAATTGGAAATTTAGATCAAAGGTCTTAATAGTTAACTTAGCATAGCTTATATTCAGTTATGCAGATGTATTTATGTGAAAATCCAAGTTGTGATTGGTTGAACAAGTAATATATGCTAACAACGACTTAAAGCAACTTAAAATTATTTAAAGCGACCTAAGTGAAACATAAAATAATAGGCAGACTATTTGCACACATGTAATTAGAGTGATCTCCTTCTTTATGACACGATAACAGGTTGTTGATTACTCCTGCCTCGCGTTTTGTAAATTGACACTCGATAAGGATTTGACCGGCAACCAATAAGTTATCAGTTTTGACCGATCGATTTTGTCGACCATGCCATATCGACCACGCATACAGCATGCAATTCCTATGGTAAAGAGTAAACTGCCTTGTGGCGACAGTGCGTTCGGGATTTTCAAAACAACTTGTTATGATCAACTGGAATAATATAACTAACTCCCTTGCCTGCCATGGTTTAGTTCTTCGGGGAAACCGCTACAGTCACATACATACTCTAGAACTCCTCGACAGTTCACGCCAAACGACATGAAACTTGGTTTAATTGAGGTTGTATATTGTAAGCAAATATACCCATCACATATCAAAACACAGAACAATTTGCATGCTATGTCCTATGAATATGATATCTGATATATAATATTCATTGTCCTGTGGCTGTGTTGATGATATTGAGTCAATTTATTTGTCCATAAAAACAACATTTCAGCAATATATGTATGAGAATACTATCTAAGCAAAAGACCAAACCCCTGTTTGTGTTGTGCCAAAACCCTGCACATATTAACAAATGTCATACAGTTAGAGAAGTAAATCAAATAGGAAACGATCAAAGCAATAAAAATTTAATGATAAAAATTCCTAAATCATGGAGATAGCATTGCATGTAGTACTTATATGTAGAAACAAATCGTTAACAACTCATTAAAAGACGCGTGTGAGATTTGCAAAGGCGAACATATTCAAATAATCAACAATAATTTCTAAACAAGTGTACATGTAGATGAGCTAAAAGAAGTAGGACGTTAAAATGCGACCTCGTTATGTTGTACGAAGAAACACATAACATTGTAGAGTCGCGGTCGTGGAAAAGAATTGTGGGTGCAGGTTGCTGTCAAAGCAATCAGCTGATAAAATGATTGCCGGGAAACGATGCCCTAATGTACATGTGTTCATGCAGGATGGCATTCAATCGGGCTTCAACATTGCTCTCTTCCACGACTCGTCAAAAGCAGAATTTATACTTCAATAATAATTGATATATAGATAAAGAAAAATACGTTACAAATTGCACAATTTATGTTAAGCATATAGTATAAGGTTCACAAAGACCATGTTGTGATCCATTTCGCCTTGATTTATTGCGTATACGTTACACGATATTTTAAAACTGTATGCAAATAATTCAGTGCTTACAACTGCATTCAAACAATTCTGTGAGCTATATTTTACAATAGCTATAGAAATTCAAGACCAAGCACTGATAATTATCATATGACCAACATAACATGCACGGCAAGAAGACCAGCATCCAATAAGAATCACCAATTTTGCGTAGGTTGAGTCACGATAATGATATTAATGAGGCTTTACGTTCATATATGTGCTTCCGTGCAGGTCAACTATTAATGAGACGACTCACAGATCACAAAGAAACAATATAGCCTAAACAAATCAAAGCCAATTATGGTGTAATATTATAGTAGAGGGAATAATCTGATTTCAGTAAGAAGATGTCGACGTTTCCCTATAATTATACTGTATTGCAGGTGGCTTATCTGACTTAAGTCTCAATTCTGGTTTCAATCGTTAAATGTTATCAGAACCCCGATTTTTAAGCAATGTTTGCACGATATAGGTATACATGCATGACTCATGGGTATACCAAAATCTGATTACGAAAATATAGCGAATATATAGTGGCATAGTAAAATAGATAATATAATATAAAAGCGTCAATATAGAATTGTCAATTTAAAATAGTCAATATTAAAACCGTGGGAAGAAATAATTGTATAACCAGACACAGTACTGAAATGTGGTGCCCAACAAATAAAACTACAAGTAAAGTTATATCAGCTAGTACGCTATACATTCTCCTGTCTCCTCGCGGCCGCCAGCTAATCCGTATATGCTATAGAATTAAAACTGCGCTTTAAAACTTTCAAAATAAAATATTTTGGGCTCGAAGTACTATCAAAATAAATAGAAAAGTAAGAAGAATCGACTGGTATACGGCCAGAAACGAGGAAACCAACTACAGTATACCAATAGTTATACGGGAATCACTGAGTATTTTTATAAAATACAAAAGAACAGTAACGCCGAATAACATTTTGTAGCTTTAATGAATCTACGTTTCGACTATATCTGTCCTGACGATGACTAAAATATAGTCCAAACGTAGCTAGATTCATTAAAGCTAGAAAATTTTATTCAGAGTTAATGTTCTTTTATATTTTAAACTATACCAAATATAATTTTGAGCGATTTGTCGACAATACGATTTCGCTTGACTTTCAAAGGCTATTAATGGCTATAGAACAATGCTATATTTAGTAATACATTTGACAGCCATAAGTACAATTTTTTTCGAGATAACGCGCAGCGAAAAGTCAACCATCAATCGTCACCGCAATATCAAATCACAGAATAAAGACGCACACCGCTCACATCTAGAAAGTACACTCAGCCAAAAAAGCGTAACTTTGATCCTTGGTTAAATTTTAGAAGCGTTATAACATTTTGAGTCATTTGGTCTTCATATCTTTTAAATTTGCTCTCATTGGATGTTTTATTAATTTGCTTTCAAAAACTAAAAAATCGAGTCACGTTGTCAAATTGCGTCCGGTGTGTCCGGATCATTACACAGGTGCTCTCCTCAGATTTCGTATGAAAATATCGTTGTATTCACTTAAATTACACAAGAAATAAAATATCACTGCAACAAAATAAATTGACAAAAAGTAAATATTAATTAATCACTGTACGTAACTCAGATCGAGTTAGTAGTATGAATTTAAAATATCGCTGTAAAAAAATAAATTTGAAAAGTAACGCAGAGCTTGGAGCGCGGGAACAGAGGTGAATGAGGTCATAGGAATTTTCTTCTCCGTTCTTTTGGTTCTTTCCGCTGAGCTACACTGCATGGTTTTTTCGCTCCTCTCCTCACCCTAGGACTGCACCCACGCTCCAAGCTGTCAAATCTGGCTCCATATTTTCAGCACTTCATGTGCTAATTCAAATTATATAAGTATATTTAATTATAATACTGCAGTCAGTTGCAAATCTAGCAATAGCAATAGGTCATGCAATGCAAGTTTTTAATGATTTTCATTATTAAAAAAACCCGCAGGTTTATTAGCATAGCGTGACCAGTTGCCATGGCTAGTTTGCCACCGAATAAATTTTTTCGCTTTGGGCAAAGGATATACATGACCTTATACTATATTGTTTTGTTTCGCTCAGGAAACAAAACTTAGAAACTATAAGCTGTTTATCACCGCATGTTTATCGCCCGCAAACATACTGAGAGAGCACATGTAGCAGATATGGTTTGTGGGTTACCCTCCCCCCATACCTCGATCGCAGCCCATTTCCTTAGCTATGGAAATGTGGGGGAAATACCTTCGCTTGTGCTTTGCCACTTAGTAAGCTTTTAAGTCAAGGGTAGTTGTCCACTTTTCCTATGAGAAAAAAGCAAGACAAACTATTATTAGTTTCTCATCCAATTTTTATCCAAATTTACTGATCCAAAATTTAGCATAACATTTAACAAAGAAATAGCAATCACTGCGTCTGTACTCACAATTAAATGCTGGGTTTTTTATTGGACAGCTTAAAATTGAGATATAATACTATAGCTAGTAACTCAGTTTTCATCTTTAGAATTGTGGCTATTTATCGCAGCATGCTTGCTGTCAATTTCTGTTGATTATGGCAGATATCTTGGTACGTAGCAGCCTGTAGGGAAGTATAAATATTTAACATTTTTATTAAATTGATTAATTAAACTTTTGAGTGGCAATGTACCCAGATGCGCCCCGCTTTATTATTTTACTCTGTCTAAAGCCAAGTAATTTTACACGTCATGGGGAGAGTGCTGTCACTCAATGGATTAAAAAGCTGCTATGAATCCCATCGTTATAGTGTAGGAGTCGTAAGTAAAATCGTGTCAAGGCATACAGTCATCCTTGAACGATATTGAGAAACATATAAGGCTTTAAGGTGGCTCAATACAGTTTTTAAAACATGAAAAATTCAATATTCAGATCCATATCTTTGGGAAATTATTACTTGTTGAAAACCAAAAAGTATCATATAAAAGAAGTGTGTAAATTGAACAAGTCATACATAATTAATTAACACTGACGAAGATCCGACCTTACGGAAAGAAATCTTTGCAGTAATCAATTTACGTGGTGTTTCCACAAATAAAAAGTATTATAAAAAAGTATCTTACTGTTATAAAAAAACATTTACAGAGTTTGAAATTTTCAATAAAAGTTAGACAACCGCTGTTGCTATGGCGACAATAACGTTTCAATATCGCTGATATTTTATCCTTCACGAGTTAATTTACTTTAAGCCATATTGATGGTCATATTGTTGCCTTTTCATGGTAAGGGACTAATAGATAAAAAAGATGGCAAATTTGTAATGTTTAATTTAAGCTAATGTTAATATAATCTTTTGCATGCATAATGCAATTAATTGGTAAGAAAGCTTTGTACAAAGCCTAGGTCACACCACACAACAATAACGATACGATAACTTCTACATCGGGCTGATTTGCCAAAAATTTATCGTTATCGTCCGACAGAAAAAAAAGGCGTAAGCGATTATAGAATCGTTATCGTCAAGCGATTATATTTTTCGATGTAGCGTGGATACCAACACAATATTTTTGCCAATAATTGCGTGTTTACAGTTTATCGTATTGTTGCCGTTGTGTAGTGCGATCGGGCCTTATATTTGACATACTCTTCCCTTACTAATCATAATATTTACAACAGGTGGTTATGGTGATCATCGTGCACGTCGTGATGTTAATCTTCATGGTGGTGGTTATGGTGATGATGGTGGTTATGGTGGTGATGATCGTGGTTATGGTGGTGATAATGGTGGTTATGGTGGTGATGATGGTGGTTATGGTGGTGATGATGGTGGCTATGGTGGTGATGATGGTGGCTATGGTGGTGATGATGGTGGTTATGGTGGTAATGATGGTGGTTATGGTGATGGTCATGGGAATTGAACGGACTTGTCGAACAGTTACGTAACCGGAAGTAAATTAATGGAACTATACTATAAATTTAGGAGCTAGTCTTCGCTTTCCGAGTAAACGGAAGTGAAGTACATGGGTTTTTGAAAGATATTTTGACGTTTGTCTTGTAAATAAAAGGAAATATAAAACAATGGGTTCAGTGTGTTAGTCGAATAATATATTGAGTGCATCGAGACGATTGGGTAAGGTATTGTTGTAATTTCTTTTAATTAAAGTGGCACTCTCGTCAAAATTTTTATTTTCTTAAACGAATATAACTGTATAGTAAATTTTTGTAGATTTTTGTTCCCATGCTCAGTTCTTGAGATATTTTATTTCGTTTGTAACCATGTGACGTCATTTACTCAAGTATATATATATATATAATGAGATATCAGTAATTGTTTTGTATCTTTGTTTTTTTATGGAGTTCTTTTAAAAAACAGTATGCATAATGATGTACGTTAAATTAGCAAACGCGCACCTTCCTTTGGAAATAAAAAAATAGCAAAGATACACAACAATTACTGACACTTCATTATGTGTGCAATTGAATTAATGACGTCCCATGGTTACAAACAAAATGAAATATCTCAAGAATTAAGCATGGAAACAAAAATTTTCAAAACAAGTTACCATACGGTTTTAAAAGCATTTTCGTGTAAGAAAATACAGTGCCACTTTGAAATGCTCAAGAGTTCTTGCTCGTGTTTGTAGTGATCAGTTTGGCAAATACAAAGGCATCGTCAATAAAGATGTTATCATCAACATTAGATATTTTTCTCAGAGAGAAATTTTTTCTCTTTAGAAATTAATATATTGTTGTTAAAGCATAATATATTTTGCTCTTGGAAATTAAAAATTAAACGGATCATTCCAGCTAAAAACTAAATTTTGATCTAGGCAAGAAAAACAAAATCCATCATAACAGCTAGAAATTAAGATCATGCTAAAATGAGTAAAATTACAAAGTTTGGCCGCGACATGTTGTAAAATGCTAAAATTAAGAGGCAGTCCGTGTAAAAACCGACCACTCGAATTTCGTAAAATTACAGAATTCCTTCATATTTCCTGTGTGGAAGAAATCATTCATAAAATGAACAAGAAAGGCTGACTTTGGAACTGTAGTCAGTTTTAGAATTTTTTTCGCAATTATTTTCCGACGCGTTTGAGAACATGTTAAAACGGTTAATTACGCAAGTGATCTTTGACCTTTTTCATATCTCACTTTCATCTCGCGCTTTTATTCTAACTTCTTGAAACTTAAATATTTTATTATTTCCTGCATAGGCATTAACATAAACTAAAAATTATCATGATCAATTGGAGTAAAATATTGTGATTTTTTAAAAACGTCTTGCAGAGAGCGGATTAAATATTCGTGTTAGTATGCCGGCGGTAAATTCTTTTTTCTCAAAAGTGCAACGGTATCAGGTATCCAATTAATTACTATAACTAGAAATACATGCATGCAGACCCCCTCGCCTTGCTTGCAAAACCATTATATTTTCCGAACGTGAAGGATTTAAAGTCCTTGACATGATAATACGCTAATTTATAAAGAACATTTTTAAAATTTAAAAGTCCCCTAAAATATCACTTTTAATTACAAAATTTATTAATTTCCTAAAAATATATATGTTGGGTATGTTATTATATGTTATTATGTGTACTATAAGCTTCAATTTAATGTAAAATTCGTCCACAAACGCTTGGCAAAACCTTTTAAAATGTTCTTAAAACTTTAAAACTAAACTACCTTTTATCGATATTAAAACTTTGCCTTGAAATAAAATAAAAACAACACATCAATATTTAAAACTAACTTACCTTCATGATATTTGCTGTGTTGGTGTAATTTACTCAGGTGAATAAGATGCTTGTGTGATGTTACTCTGAGTGCATATCCACAACGAGCAGGCTTGAAAAATATGCTTGGTCACGGTGGGATTCGAACTTACGACCTTTGGAATACTAGCCCAATTATCTGCCAGCTGAGCTACGAGGTCAGGTCGGTTCTAGTATTCGATATTTCGGAGCTGAATCTAGTTCCTTCGATATCAGTATAATCTAGCTAATAATCATGATATTTGCTGTGTTGGTGTAATGTACTCAGGTGAATAAGATGCTTGTGTGATGTTACTCTGAGTGCATATCCACACCGGGCAGGTTTGAAAAATATGCCTGGTCACGGTGGGATTCGAACCTACGACCTTTGGAGTACTAGCCCAATGCTCTGCCAACTGAGCTATGCGGTCACGTTGGTTCGAGTATGCGATATTTCGGAACTGAGTCTAGTTCCTTCGATATCAGTTTAGTCTAATAATCACGATATTTGCTGTGTTGGTGTAATGTACTCAGGTGAATAAGATGCTTATGTGATGTTACTCTGAGTGCATATCCACACCGGGCAGGCTTGAAAAATATGCCTGGCCACGGTGAGATTCGAACCTACAACCTTTCGAATACTAGCCCAATGCTCTGCCAACTGAGCTACGCGGTCAGGTCGGTTCAAATATGCAACATTTCGGAACTGAGTCTATAGTTTCTTCGATATCGCATACTCGAACCGACTGAAATATCGCATACTCGAACCGACCTGACCGAGAATGTAAATATCGCTGCACGTCTCATTACTCATTGGTTAATTACTATAAAAAAACGTCCCTTCTGTTCTTGGTTAATTATTATAAGTAAACGCACCCTTTGAGGGAAACTAGTGATTAAATGACCCCGCAAACTGAGAGAGGTATACTAAATCTCCCGAGCATGCGCATAAACCGAATTTTCGCCCACAATTGAAATATTCAAGATTGCGGAATAAAAACTGGCAAAGTGATTGGTAATATGTGTACGGGACTGTGTCATAAGACACTGTCCATAGCATAGATATTTTATATACACTAGATAGCGCATCTCTTTTAGCATAGTTAATAGAATATAGATGGTTTGGAAACTCATTAGAATGATAATATAACTCATTATCTATGTTAGTCAACGTTTATTCATAAATATTGTCGTTCGCCGTCACGTGCGTATTGTATTTTTGCCCAACGAACCAATGGCAATGTTTTAAGAAAGTTACCTATCCGTGACACGAACAATAGGGTAAACTGGAAATTGCTATTAGTGGATTTGGCAAAAATACAATACACACGTGACGGTGAAGGACCATATTTATGAATAAACGTTGACTACCATAGATAATGAGTTATATTGTTATTCTAATGCGTTTCCAAACCATCTATTTTATTAACTATGCCTTTAGGAAAATTGAAGTCAAGAATATTCCAGAGGTTGCCCTCATTTGAATAGATGGCGGCCTTGTTGGAGTTTCCCACTCGCTAATAAACGCCTGAAAAACAACAATAACTTTCATCATTTGAAAAGTTTGAAAATGTATTTGGAATAGGTTTAACTAAATGTTTAAGAAATAGAACACATACGAGTCTTCTCATTTCATGGGAATTTCCTGAGTCTGCAATCACGGCTTCAATTTTTGAATTGCAGAATAATTAGATGCACTATCTACTGTATATATAAGATATTTATGGTCCATAGTTGTGCCGATAATTTTCGATGAGGTAAATCTCTCCAATGAGAGATAATGAGGTATACGCTTTTGTCTTCTAAATTTTCCTCATCAAGCATGCAGTGCAAAATTAGAAGACAAAGAAATCTTTTGTTTTTAACTAAATTTCCCGGGAAAATTTAGAAGACAAGAGCTTATGCATGGGTAATGAGGGAATACGAGATTTACATTCCGTCTCAGAACAATGAAAACCGAGGCTACCATGTTATTACTGAAAAAAATGTCCTCTTTGTTGCTGGTTAATTATTACAAATGTTACTAGGTAAAAGATTGCGTAAGGCATTCTTATCATCATTTATAATTCTTGATCACAATTTCTTGTCTCTGTTCGATATTGTTGCTTTAAAATCTGATCTGTTGCTTGTATAACCATTTCTATAGGCACGATTGACAAACTTATCAATTTGACTTACGTATTTGTTGTACGATGCTCCACCCCAGACTTCGACTGCAAAGGTGAAAAGGGAGACTATAAGACAATTGAAGAGAAGATCCAATTGATGTGTAGAGAGCCCGTAGTGTTTACAAACCCTTAGAATATACATTCTTCTACTAGCTTTTTTTATCATCTCTTCGAAATGTTTATCCCATTTACCAGGTATGTCTTCCGTCGTGACACCCAATAATTTGAGCCATTCTTTCCGTTTTATGGATGGGATATGATCCGGAAGGGGAGTAGACAGTTTTCCGCGAACTATCATTTCATAGGTTTTCTCCATGTTTAAAGACATTCTATTCTCGTTTGACCATAGCTTCATATTTTCTACTTCATACCCAGCTGAATCTTCGTAATCATAAACTGGTGCTTTTATTGCAATATCATCAGCAAATTTGGATAAATCATTGGAGAGACTCACCGCCTTGATATCATTGACCATTATAGTAAACACTATAGGCCCAAGCACAGTACCCTGGGGTACGCCACGATTAATGTCTAGAAATTCAGTTGTGACACCATCAACTTTCACTCTCGGTCTGCGGTTGTTCAAAAAGTCGATCATCCAGTTTATGATATATGGATTAATGGGTATTTTCTTGATTTTATTAAACAAAATATCGTGTGGGACACTATCAAATGCCTTACTGAAGTCAAATGAGATTATTCTAACAGATTTAGCACCTTCATCAAGGCTTTTTAACTACATATGTTGATATTTTATTAGGGCCATGGTAGAATTATGTCCCTTTTTATATGCAAATTGATCATCCCCAATATAATTATACACTGTATCAGCGACTTCACTTTGATACACACATTTCTCAAATAGGCGCATAATGATATCTGTTAATGAGATAGGCCTAAGTTGGGAACATGAATTAATTGAGCTTTCTTTTGGACTGGGTATCACATCAGCTCGTTTCCAAACATTCGGAAACTTGCCACTCTTCAGAGAAGTATTAAATATTCTCGTTATAACAGGAGTCAATATCTCTGCATATGTCTTCCAAAACCAGTATGGTATGTCATCAGGACCTGATGTTGTGCGTTTCAATTTTCGCAAAAAATTGTGCACCATATCTAATGAGAGCCAGGGGATTCTGGTGTCCTTAGGGATCGACAGCAACTGGGGAGCAGTGTATTCAGGGTCAGTATTTATGCCTTGAAAGTAAGTCATTACCAGAAATATGGGACATTTTGCGCCCGCATTTGTAGGTAGCGGCTAATTGCTTGAAAAATCAAAATAGCGACTCGAACTGCCAAAGGCAAAGGACGTGTGCCATTCCTTACAAAGTCGTTCTTCGATACGTTGTTTACCGGGTTTTAAAGCAAACCATTTGTCT